ATAGTACAAGTGGCATGTTAGCATATAATAAAACATAATGTGATATACATATACATAATCTTGAAGAATTCAACATAGTTTTCATAGGAATAGCCATGTATTTTTGTAGTCTTAGTTGATACACACATTCTCTATGGTTGCCTACACCTATGTTTATGCCTATATGCACACCTATATATTATAATAATAAATACAACTAGGGGCTGGAGAGGTGGGTCAGCAGTTTAGAGTACTGGCTGCTCTCACAAAGGACCCAGACTTGGTTCCCAGCACCCACATGGAGCTAACAACTGTCTGTAACTCCAGTTCCAGGGGATCTGACACCTCTCTGACATCTGTGGACTTTGCACTACCTACATGTAGGCAATATACTCATACACATAAAATAAAAATAGTAAAATATTTGAAACATTTAAGTAGTCTCGAGAGAAGATAACTACTCTTGATAAAAAGAAAACAAGGAAGCCAGAGAGATGCCTCAGTGGGTAAGGCAGCTGCTACCATGCCTGACAACTTGAGTTCTCTCTCCAGACCCCACATGGTAGAAGAGAACAGACTCCCCAGAGTTAGGCTCTGATGTCCACACACACACTATGGCACAGGCATGCCTATTCTCTCTCTCTCTCTCTCTCTCTCTCTCTCTCTCTCTCTCTCACACACACACACACACACACACACACACACACACTTTAAGCATAAGCTTTATGATTTCAGTGGTGTGCAGGAAAATCAACATGCACATATAATGGATACACACACACACACACACACACACACACAAAAAAAAAAATCATGTTAATGACAGTGAACTAGCCATTCAAATGTCTGAGGAAAGGATGGGTAACAAGCAATTTGGTAAAGTGTAAGTATGGAGATGAATGCGTTTGGGAAATTCAAGCTGCTGAACCTTAGCACAAGGCTGTGTGCAGTGAGTGAGGGGCCTGTGTGCAGTGAGTGAGGGGCCTGTGTGGTAGGATTATGATGGGAGCTGCTCAAGAAAAGCTTCTATAGGTGTGGTAAGGATTCAGATTCTTCTAAGAACCATGTAAGTCATGGGAAGTTTTAAACAGAATGACATTTTGGGTTTTTGTTGTTTACTTTAAGTAGCTGTGGCTATTATATTAAAAGTTTAAGCCGGGCGTGGTGGCGCATGCCTTTAATCACAGCACTTGGGTGGCAGAGGCAGGTGGATGTCTGTGAGTTCAAGGCCAGCCTGGTCTACATAGTGAGTTCCAGGCCAGGTGGGGCTACAGGGAGACCCTGTCTCAAAAAGACCAAAACAAACAAAGAAACAAACAAAAAGTTTATAGTGTTCCATTTTAATTATTAACAGATAATTAAGAAAAACTCTGTTCCACCTTGAATACTAGATACATGTCCATGTTGGACTTATAACATTAATATTGCTCATAGTGTTTATTTCTTTTATAAAAGATTTATTATTTGAAGCCGGGTGTGGTGGTGCATGCCTTCAATCTCAGTACTCAGGAGGCAGAGGCAGACGGATCTCTGTAAATTCCAGGCCAGCTGGGGCTACAGGGAGACTCTCTCAAAAAGGAAAAAAAAAAAAAAAAAAACTTTTAGCTGGGCGTGGTGGCACACACCTTTAATCCCAGCACTGGGGTGGGGGTGGGGGGTAGAGGCAGCCTGGTCTACATAGTGAGTTCCAGGTCAGCTGAGGTTACAGGGAAATCCTGTCTCAAAAAGACATATATATGTCTTTATATACATATATATATATATAATTTGTATTTATGTGTATGTGCCTGCATACAGGTGCCCAAGTAGGCCAGAGGGCATTGGATTCTTTGGAAATAGTTACCGGTAGTTGTGAGGTGCCTGATATGGGTACTGGGACTGAACCTGGGTCCTCTGTAACCGCAGTAAGTGTTATTAACTGCTCAGTCATCTCTCCAGCCCCTCCAACACATATATCTTGTTTTATAAAGCAGAAGATGGCTCAGTGGGTAAAGGTGCTTGCTGTCAAAACTGACAAGTTGAGTATGATAACCCAGAGCCTCCAAGTTGTCCTCTAACCTATACCCAAGTGCTATGGCATTGCACATGCACACACAAACACATACACACAAATGGCTGTAAAAATAATGTTTTTAGGGATTGGAGAGATAACTTTATCTAGAAATTAGCAGAGGAAATGCATCAGAGAGGCTGGCATTCTTTGTGAGAGGACAGAGATGTGACTGAGAATTCAGTTTCTCTGGCACAGTAGGCGGGTGTGTGTAATTGTTCTAAGACCTCATCAGACCTAAGAGGAAGGCCTGACACGCCATAGTAAATGAGGTTCTGTATGCCTCCTTAACATCCCATCACAGCATGGAACAGCAAGCTTTGCAAGCTGTGACACATATTTTGAAAAATGCTTTTCTGCCATGGGAATTCTGAAAAGCCACAGTCTTATATCAGCTTACCTTTGCCAGATTTACATCAGTTTATATCTTAAATCCCAAATTCCAGTCCTACAAAACTGGATGTCAAAGCACATTTGGGTATTAATCATCAGTAACTGGGGAGGGAAAAGGCTACTGGAAAGGTACTAGTGAAATTTAATAATTTTACAACCTGCCAGAGCATGTACTGCCTAAAGCAGCTTGGCCCATCAGTACCGTATCCCATCACCGTCAGCTAGCATTAAGAAATGACTGCATAGCAGATAGTTTCAATTATTCTGTAATGAATTATTTCTGTATCAATACCAGAATCTTCAAGTAGTTAATTAGAAGTGAGGAGAAATGATTTTATGTTTTATCAGAGTAAAAGTGATTGCTTTCATCACATTTCTAGTTGATCTTTTTTACCTTGTTTTAGGTTTTTGAGATAGGGTCTCATGTGGCCCTGGCTGGCCACCAACTCTCTTTGGAGCCAAGGAATGGCCTTGAACTCCAGCCACCACCTTCCAGGTGCTAGGATTACAGACCTGGGTTGGTTTCTAATTTTTATCTTAATAGTTCATTTGTTTTCTGAATCTCAGTCCTTTGGGGGGAAATTGACTTAATCAGATTTTTTTTTTTTTTTTTTTTTACCTACTTGCATGTTTTGTCCTTCCTTGTCATCTGTTTCTTCTGCTGTATTGTAGACAGGAATAAGGCAGTTCCTGCGCTCCAAACTGTGACCTATTAGAAGTGGGGGCTGTGGGTGAAGCGAACACAAGGCACTGCAGCACAACAAATGCTGTCAGTGAAGAAACCTGAACGGTGTTTCTGAACCCAGAATTCCATGGGAAATACACACAGAAACACCTCATGTCTGAGTATTACCCAAGATACTGTTGCCATCCCCAGAGCAGCCTGTGTCTTTAGTTATTTCAACTGTTGAACCACATTCACAATAATCAGTCTGAGAAGGTATTTCTACCAATTCCTGCAATTTCAGTAGTTTTGCTTTTTTTAATTATAAAAAGGTGATTGCTGGGAGCGGTGGTGCATGCCTTTAATCCCAGCACTCGGGAGGCAGAGGCAGGCAGATCTCTCTGTAAGTTCAAGGTCAGCCTGATCTACACAGTGAGTTTCAGGCCAACTGGGGCTGCACTGAGACTGTCTCAAAAAGACCAAAAAATAATAGTAAGTAATTATGTCTCTCTTTAAAAATGGGTAACTTTGCCCAAAGTATTAATATTAAACATACAAAATACCATATTTATGTAATTTTTTTATTTAGTCTTCATTAGACAATGCAGATATTTTGCTAGAACAAAGACTATAATAAGATTTATCAGTGAAAGGGTTCGGGTTAGCAACTACAATTTCAAGTATGCAAGCAAACTGTGAATCAGCCAGAATTAGCACAAATATACAGAAGAGTCATCCACTGCGGTACAGGGGATGCACAGGAAACAGGGAAGTTTAGCACTACAAACACTCATGGAAAATTAAGCTGCAGATAATAAGAGCACGGGGATGAAAATCTTGTACAAAGAGTCCATTGTGTACTTAAAAGGAGAACATGGCAAAGGGAACATAACTCTACCTCTGTTTTGGCTTTCTCCTGTACTAAAGAATACTAGTCCCTATGGAACTACTTTGTGGTTGTTACTTATTTTCCCACAGATGAAGATCACGTGGCTATCTGCGAGCTTATGCTTGTGTTAACTAACACTTGGGCTATGATACAAATGTCTACATGCCACATCCTCAAAACATAGAAATAATAGTGGCTCTAAAGGAAATGTATTAAGCCCCACATTCCTATAAATCTTTAAATGCATCTCATGGGTATGTATAATGTAATTAGCTGGTTTTTATGAGTTGTAAAAAAAAAATATTAAGCCAACTGAGCAGAGTGTTCCGTCTATAGGAATATCTGTCTAGCTGGGCTTCATCCTTTTAAGATTGTGAGAGCAAAGTAAATTATGAAATAACCAAACTAGAAGACATGTCAAAATGTCAAGACTAAGGTTTTTAGCTTCTCGATTCTTGACTAAATGGATACTATCTGTATATGGAAACGGGCTATCAAGAAGCTGCGAATTTTACCGAATGAAACCTTCTACTATCCATAAAAAGCCCAATACTGTGTAGAACTATTCAGATCAAATGGTCCCTTGACAATGATACTTTGAGATGATGTGAGAATTACAACTAGACTTAGGGCTTACTTTTATTTTTTGAAAAATTTAAGGGTATTAGATTATTTGGGTCTCAAAGGAGGCTTAAGTAACCTGGTTGACCCTAAACAATCTGAGCAAAATCACCACATGTGGGACCAGGCAAGAATATGCTAGTCTCAGAAGAGTCAGATAAATGAAGCAACAGCTTGATTTTTCAGGTAACACAGCTTTTCAAAAACAACTCCATTACTGTAAATTTTACTACATCCTGTTAGCTCTAATATTCCAAAATAATTCCAAAAATAACTAAAATGTTAACCCCAATACAGTACTCTATTGCTTCCGAAATAAAATTTAGTATTTTGGTTTACCAAAAAATATATCTTAACATTTTGAGGTAAGTTACTTTCAGTACACAACCAAAGACTTTAAACCATCTTAATACATCAACATTTTAACATTTTCAACCTTTATGTAGTCTTCAGTTTACTCATTTTTAAATGCAGTTAATAAACTGTAGATTCTTGAATACTGTTATATATTCCTTATAGTCTACCTTGGTACAATATAATCATTTTCAGGGTTACCATTAGAGTAACCATGACCTAAAGAGAATAAGCTGACTCCCTCTTACCCTACCCCCAATTAAAAATAAAAACTGGAACAAAGAAGACTAGAAATAGCCTAATCACTAAATGTGGATGCAGAAGTCAGCACTTTGCACCCACTCTTTATGCTACAGAATGAACTTTCTATGTACAACCAAATACTTTCTAATTCAAAGCCTTTCAAGAAGCCCCAGTGGACTTCTGGATTTGCTCCTTCAGAATCAGGATGCTCTGCCTTTGTTCAGGAGGCAGCATGGCGATCTGATCAGCAGTCAGTTGAAGAACCTGCATGATCAAAGCTGCTTTTTCTTGGTCTTGTGGAGTTACCTGGCTCTGCCCAGGACTAAAACTGCTAGGTTGACCTCCACCTTGTTTGTTTGCTCCCTGCATCCCTGCTCCCTGCATCCCTCCTCCTTGTATACCAGCCCCCTGCATGCCTGCTCCTTGTATACCAGCCCCCTGCATGCCTGCTCCTTGTATACCTGCCCCCTGCATGCCACCTCCGGGATTTCCTACTCCTGTAATGCTTGGAACCTGCCTAGGTCCCTGAGGGCCACCTGCACCTATATTAATGGGACCAGGACCCTGGATTGCACCAGACATGGGACCTCTGGAACTAGGCCCAGGGCCCCTCATCTCTAATCCTCTGGCATCGATGCCTCTTGCTTCCATTCCTCTGGCTTCCATTGCACAGGTCTCCATTCCTCTTCTCTCCATTACTCGTGGCTCTAGGACCTCCGTTTCCATTGGGCGAGTCTCCATCCCTCGTGACTCTCGACCTCCTCTGGCATCCATGGGAAGACCTCTTTGATCTATCATGGGCCCTCTGGGCTCTCCAATCAGCATTCTGGGATCTGCCGCTAATGGCCCTCTCATATCATGAGAGGAAGGGCCACGGCTGTCATGGCCATGATGCATGGGGGGCCCCTGATGGGGAGGACCCAGATAACCTCTAGGCTCTACTTCTCCAGTAACTGAAAGCAAAGTCCCTCCACGTGGGTCATTCGGAGCATCTCCCAACAGTCCTCGAGGAGGTATGCCACCAGAAGCCATTGGTCCACGAGGTATTGGCGCTCTCGGATCTGACATCTGCATCTGTCCTCTTTCTAAGGGCATCGGGCCAACCACTGGCATGCCAACTTGCGGCTGCATTGCTCCTCCAGGAGTTAAAGAACCAGGTCCAGGTCCAGGTCCAGGAACTGCAGCTGGTATTGGCCCCGGCGCTGGAATTCCCCCCTGGATGGAGGTCTGCATCAGAGGAGGAATGTCCTTCACCGGTCTTCGAGCCAAATGCTGAGGCTGAGGAGCTGGAGGATTCTGTTGGTTCAGCAGAACATTTGGTCCTGGGCAGAGGCCGGGGGCAGGACCAGGGCCGGGTCCGGGTCCTGGGCCGGGTCCGGGTCCGGGCCCAGTCCCGGAGACGGGCTGCGATTTGCCCGGGATCAGCGGCGTGACGTGTATCTTACGATGCAGGATTTTCAGAGCAATCTCGGGATCCATGATTCTCATCACCACTTGTGCCTGCAGCAGCGCATAAGCCAGCTGTGGGTTCTGAAGCAGCATGTTTCGCGCTTCCTGGTGGCTGTTCTGAACACAAAGCTTCATTTGCTTCATCAGTTCAAACATTTGCTCCGGAGGAAGGCTGGCGACCGCTCTGGTAATCGACTCAGGGGCATCCTCGGGATCGATGGGGTCCCCGTAGGGCGAGTCAATGATGGGCGCAGCAGGCCCCAGGCTCTTCAGCTCCTCCTTGTTCTTTTCACTGGCGGCATTGTCCACCCGAAGCGCCCTCCCGCTGAATTCTCGCCCGTTGAGATTGCGCATGGCACTGAGGGCGGTCTCCTGGTCTTGGTACTCGCAGAAGCCGTAACCCTTAGGCTTTCCCGTCTCCCTGTCGTACACGAGACGGAAACTGACCACAGAACCAACCTCCGAGAAGATGTCCTTTAACTGCTCCTCCGTCGCCTCGTACGGAATGTTCCCCACGAACACTGAACGCAGTGATCGATCCATGGCTGGGTCTCTCACCGCCAAACTCGACATGATTCCGGTCGTTTGCGCGGCAGAAGGCGAACTCGTCCCGGAGCCGTCCTCTGGAGATCCGCACTTCCGCTGTGTAACGGAAGGTGCTGTTGAGACTCCGGACGGAATCCGTTCCGCTATTCGTCAACAGTTCCGCTAGTCCTCAGACACCGCCGCTAGAGGCCGGACTGACTTCAGAGTAGTTTCCGCCCCTTGCGGTTGGCGTTTTTGTCAGCGCCTGGTTACTGATCCCATGATTCCTTTCCTGTTTCCTATTCGGCCGTCTTTCCGGGACGCCGTGCCACCTCGACCACTCACAGGCCGGTTTAGAAGTGACCACAGTAAAGATGGCTGCCCAGGCTTCACTCTGGTAACCGACAGAGTCTTCCTCTCCTAAGGACAGGGGTGGTTTTGTTTGTGTTCTACCAGGAGAAACCGACAACCGGAAGCTGGCTTAAGGTGTCTGTTTTAATATCTGATACATGTGTTCCCAGCTGTTTCCGTTTAGTATGGAATATTTGAACTATTTAAAATTGCGTTCCAGATTATGAGGTAAAAATACGTATTTCAAAATAGATTAAATAAAAAATACCTTATAGCTGGGCGTTGTGGCCTACGCCTTTAATCCCAGCACTTGGGAGGCAGAGGCAGGTGGATCTCTGTGAATTCAGGCCAGCCTGGTCTACATAGCGAGTTCCAGGCCAGCTGGGGCTATAGGGAGACCCTGCCTCAAAAAGACACCCCAAATAAATAA